TTAATCTTGTGATGTAGAGTCTATCTTTCAAGGAGTTGTGCATGACATGGGTAAGTAAAACACATTTCTATTCATACGGTAGTAATCACATAGTGTGGTCCTCCATGTGTGTATGTGTATAAGTAACATATGTATGTAGAGACAGTACGTAGTCTCAAAAGGGTTGCAAATGCGTATTGATGTACAGATGTACGCATTTTGAAATTAGTTTTAGGTGAGGTCAGATTGCTTCGTATTTGTGTGTGAATTCAAGCTGGTGTGAGTCTTCAAAAGTCACACCCAAGTCATTGTACACACTTGTGTGGTTTAGGCTTATGGATCAATCCTTTTGAACACATTTTTCTTCATATATGCATCAGTTAGAGGAGCAAACAAGCAATAAAAAGAGTACATACAGAAAAACCAATTTTAATAAATGTAAGAATCCATGTTTTGTACTTGTAATTTAGGCATTTCTGTGAATACACAAACAGTTAGACACAGAGGAAATTATGTGAGCTGTTACATGTAGGAGTTGGTATGGTGGTCCGGAACATCATGTATGTCAGGGTTTGTTTGTGCCTCTGGAAATTATTATTTTCTTAATGTGTGTGAACCCATCAGTTATAATTGCAAGGTTAAAATAAAATAAGAAAAAAAAGCATGTATATTCTTGGTAGACATGAAGGGAATTTAACATCGAATGGAAGTGACTGTACAATGTTTAGTTCAGTTGCTTAGATAATGAGATCCAGTTTTCTGCCATTGAATAATTAGTCTTGTATTCCAATAAATCAGATCAAAACAATTTAATTCATTGGCCATATATTTTCTCTGTTAAGCATGTGAACCGCATACTTTACATCATAATTTATCAAGCTTTCAACTCACTTACTTTCAGATGGTATTCATTAAAACCTCGGTAATTGATGGCGTGTTATTGCCAGCTTTTATTTTTATTTAATAAGTTCACACTGTTGAAAACATTTTATTTGTGATGTTGATCTCAAATACAAAAATGCTTATTTGTTGCATAGTTTACAAGAAGGTGGTTTATGCACTGGTTTATAAAGTTCTGTCTTCTCATCTAACACCATAATCGGGTCTAGTTTTTATTTCATTTTTGGTTTTCCAGCTGCTGCCCCCGAGCAGCCACCCAGAGACCCTTTGCTGCACTTAGTCTCCCTGCAGGGGGCGTCTGGCTGCTGGCTGCTTGATCCAGCTCTGGCTACTGCACTGGGAAAGACCAACGAGGAGGTGGAAAAGTCAAAGCCTGAAAAGGTGGACTGTTTTCATTTTCAATAATAACAAACAAAATGATAATGTTAGTTATTGTAAGTCAGATGCTTCATGCTCATGTTCCATGATTTGAACAGAAACACATGATGTAATTAAAAACACAAAAAACAAATGACAATGAAGTCAAACTAAATGTAGGCCTTGAAAATAAACATCTGTATATCAGAAGCTAAAACACTGGTGGTAATCACACATCTAGACAGAAATCCCTTTGTGATTACATCAGGAACAGCGTAACAATCTGCCAAATCAAATTTGCAGAGCTACACAACTTGGTGACCCCTTGTGACTAGTAAGCAGCCAGAAATAACTAATACTACTGGTTGTAGAAAGTAAAATCATGTAGGATTTTTTTTTCTTTGTGTGTCCTCTCTGTTTTATTTTATTGTCGTTGATTTGTTGAATTAGGCCAACAGTGAAGTGTGGGCCACCATTTTGGCTCTGATCTGGCTTCATGGTTTCAAGATGGATGCAAAGGACGAGTGGGAGCTTCTGGCTATGAAGGCTGCCTCATGGCTCCGTGCTCAGAATGGTAGTAGCAATGATAATAACAGATAAAATGTTTTAAAAATTGTTTCATGCTACAATCTACTTTTTTGTCTTCCCTCCATACATTCATTGCTTTAATGTCTGTGTTGTGTTTTCAGCACCGTGTGTGAGAGAGTGTGTGGATGCTGGAAATGTCCTGTTGGGCTGCAGTGTGAAGAAAGAAGCTCTGGGCCTATGAGGGTTTCCTGAAAGTGGATTGGTGAACAGAAGCATTTCTACTTACACCATACTGCATTAGACTTGGTGTTGCTTTGTGAAATCTAACATTTTATAATTGTTATAAAAACAGAACTGTTCTTTGACTATAAAATGTTATTTTACATTTGAGCCCAATTTGACTTTAATGTTCAGAATGATCTGAAAACCCATAATACACTGTAAAGATTAGACATCTACTGTGTGTGCGTGTGTCCATTCTTTTTCTCTCCCATTAGATCCCACCCCCTGCGCGCACAAACACATCCTCCAATCACACACCCCCATATTTTGCTCCATTGCGGTTTATTTACACCTCAAACATTTAGTAAACAATTAAGCAAATACAAGTAATCTGCAATAATTTACAGGTAGTAAGAAAATAAACTACTAACTCTTTTACACTACGTCCGCACCTACACGGGTATTTTTGAAAACGCAGCTGTTTTGTGCACCCGTAAACGACGCTTTGAATCACCGAAAACGGAGATTTTTTTTAAACTCATTTTTTGCGTTTACGTGTGGACGAGGAATACAGAGTTGGTCACACAACGTCAAACGTATGTGCCTTTTTCACGTCACGCTGTGCGCCATGTTATTGTTTACATTGTTTACGTATGAATTACAGAATGGCAGATGGACACAAAATACTGTTAATCTGATTATGCAGGTTTTACACGCTTACACACGCAGTTACTGTCCCTCCATTTAGAAAGGCAGAGTCGTCACGGTGTGATTTTTACGTGTAGTTTTTTTTTTTTTCCATTTGTAATACTATTCAACATTGCTATCAATACATTTTTCAAAAAATGCCTCTCTGTGCAAAATGGGTTTAAAAACATAAACAGCTGTGGGATAATGTTTGTCCGTGATTTGAACAGCCCAGCGCTGCTCCCGACACAGAGAAAACCAATCCTGCAGGTGAAGTCAAAGGGAAGATAATCTTTACCATAGTTTCTAGTCTTTGGCTTAGAATGAAGTTGGTTTGGAAACATATTCAGCTATGCTTCATCTCCTGCTTTGCATCTCCTGCGCCTTTACATTCAGAGCCATTGCGCGCCCCCCCCCTAGGGGGCGGGCGCCACACTTTGGGAAGGTCTACACTAGATGGTGATAATGTGCATACTTGGTTACTTTTGACTTGTTTCACAAACCAAAGCCAATTTCAGCCGTTCCACTTCCTTCAGTTCAGGATGCTCATGAGATACTTTTAACAATGGGAAAACTGAAAGAAAGTCCAAGAAGATTTAGGAAGGAGAATTTTAGATTTGGATAAACTAAACAACTGCAAACTGTGATTATCAGTTTGAAAAAATGCATGTATGAAAAAGTTATTTGGATGTTCATCCTGATAGGACGTTCAGGAACACCCAAGCATCCCAACTCATCAGCAGTACACTAACAGTGTTTTGAACACATTTAAATTTAATGAGTGCTTTTTAATTATTCTGTGGAGTTGAGGACGGCAAACAAATTTCTTATTTATTGCTGAAAGGTGACAGTGCTAAACATCACATGAACATGCTGCCCGAAATACAGACAAACGTCTGGAAATCAACTCACAGGAAAGTCCAGATGAGGATTCAGTTTCTCTTGCTTGAACTGAGAAGTGATCCTTAATAAAACAGCTCAGGTACCTCATCTCTTTGCAGCTTGTCTAACATGGTTTGAATACTTTTGAGACATACCTAGAGTACTATCACAATAATTAAGTTTTTTCATGACTTAATTTGGTACAGAAGTTGTTCTCTATTTGCTTGCTTGTCCTACCAAACACATCATCCAAGAAATAAAGCAGAAGAATATTGACCTTTCAGATTTCTTATTTAAATATCTACCAACACAAAAAGTATTCACAAGTTTAATTCATTTTTCCTCTTTTGCTATATTGTATCATTTCAATTACACAAAGTAAATCTTGAGAATTTACTTCATACATAATCATTCTGTGCTAAAGACTGCTCATTGTATCTGCCTTGGACTTGCTGTCAGTCTGTAAAATCTGATAGAAATGAAAGCTGGGATGTGCATGGGAGTCACTTTATAGAACTGTTTACTTCATCCCTTATTTAACTACAGAAACAAACCTGCCTAAACACACTGCGGATATACAATGCGAACAAAATTTTTAAAATGTAACAAAATAAGAAAAAGTAATAAAGGCTTAAATGAGGGAATACAAATGTATGATGTGACATGGATCATTATTAATGTAAGTACTATCTATCCATCTGGTTCAACCTAACACAGCATATGAAAAATCTACCAGAAACGGTTAATCCAGTTGTTATGTTATTGTTACGTCCAGTCACCTTTTGGCCTCTTCATGAAAGAGAGCTGCTCTCTCTGTATTCCTTGTTTGCCACACCTGAACAGCTGCTCATTTGTGTACATGCATATCTAGCTCCAGCAGCAACACTGGGCTCTGTGTTTTGTGGTTGCAGGATTATTGCTGGTCAGTGTGAACTTGACGTCATCTTGGAAAGTGAAACATGTGGAATCTGTCCTACTGTGGTCAGATTTGCATATGTTAGTGGAAGATTAGCATAGTTCTTTGCCATTTTACTTATGTGAGTTTGCTCCTGTTTTGTGGACAGCCAGAGAGATTAGGCACTGTGTTTGTGTTTTTGCATGTTTTTGTTTCTTTGCTGGTAAAAACATTTCCACACACACATGAAGTAAATGAGGGCCATGGTTTATCTGCCCCTTCTTATAATGGATGTACTTTTTGACATGTTGACATGAAGAAAGAACAAACTTGCGAGATCCCAGCGTAAGACATGGAAACATGTACATAGTGCTTCCTGCTGCAGGACTGACCCCCAGCGTCACAGCCAAAGGTGTCAAACCTGCTCTTTAGGCTTAACAGCTTTAAATCATTTGGTTAAAAAAGTATCAGCCCTCTGAGATGTCACTAGTTCCTGCCTAACTGGCTTAAGGGGTATTTCAGCAGACACATCTGGGTTACACAAAGTTCAACAACTTCAAATGAAATGGAGGTTTCATTTGAGGCTGAAGATTAAACTGGCCTTAAAACTTTATTTTTTTTTTAACATTTATTTTTAAGCTATGTTTTTCCAGACATCTTTTTGACGTACTTATTTATGACGTATTTTTAAAAAAAAAATTGATGTTGACAATAGGAAATGTATTATTAAAATTAAATTATCTGCCTTCCCCTCTTTCCCGAAACCCCCCCCCCCCCCCCAAAAAAACCAAATTCCTGTGTCTGTGTAGCTAATGCAAATATGAATACAGAGACTGTATTGTGAGATAACATGAAAGTTGTTTTTTTCAGTCGAATAGAATGCAAATGTGTGCTTTTCACTTTTTTAAGAACAGCATGTAAGTTCAACATATCAGGACATAATTTAAAACTGATCAGGTGATTATTTTTTTTTAAGTAAATACAGCCTAAGATGATAAACAACACATCAGATATTACTCTGTGTTATTATTTATTTTATAAAAATGAAACCAAAATGCAGAGGAAAACTAGGTACACTGTTACTGCTTCCATAGGAAATAACAGAGTAAGAAGCAGCCAGGTTCTGCTAATGCACTTGATTACAGCCAGTGTCTTTTCTGATCATCAGATGATCTTAGGAAACATGTTGTTGCTGCTTGTCAGTCTGTGAATGGTTACAAAACAATTTTATATTTGAAGTCAGTTTTTCTACAGTGAGAAAAGATATTGACACATGGAAAGCAAGACAGCAGCCAATCTCTCTAGGAGTGGACATCCCAAAAATTCATAAAGGAGGCTTAGACTGACCAAACTGCATCTCACCAAACCAAAAGACTTCTGGATCAGACTGCATCATATTACTAAAATGCATCATTGCACTGCATCAAATGCAGTGAGGACTGGGAAAGCCTCCGTTTTCCCAGTCCTCACTGCTACGCAAAAATGCTTTTTTCCAAAATTATCCACTTTGGAGAGCGTTTTCAAAAAGCTCAGTTTTCCTCGACCAAAAACGGTATCTCAGTGTGGACGGAAGGCCAAAATGGAGAGAAAACGATGCATTTTCAAACGAAAACGTATCAGTGTGGACATGGCCACAAACTATTTTCATAGCACTCTGTCTTATAGTTCTCAGAGGTAACACCATTTACCACTTGGATGTTAGTACTTTGTACGAGCTAGAGTTGTTAGCCCCAACCTCCAACCTGCAGGACCCAGGTGTCTGACCTCTAACCCTTGCTGCCACATGTCCATTCAAGGCCCTTGTGCGGTAGCAGTAACAGGAGTAGTAGGAATGGTAGTTGTACTAGTATTGTGCAACACACATGCAAGCAGGCTTCAGAAACTGGCATTCTTCTGACCTGCAAATGGTGAAAACATCCCACATATGCATGTCATACTCGTAATTGAAATTTAGAAATTTTGATAAGTAAAATGTCATCATAAAAAGAGTTTAAAGCTCATTTTGGCATAGACACAGACTTTATTAATCACCCAGCAGGGACATTCACAGTTACAGCAGTACATGGGTCAGGAAGAGAAAGTGAATCAGAAATATAATATAAAAATAAACAAATTACAAAAATAGTGCACAAATTTAAAATTAGCCAAACAACCTATACGAGAGTAATTACTACTAATCTATAAATGACTGTTATATATAACAAATACACTCCATGTCAGTATAAAGATGACTGTCATTCCTGATCAGTTGATGCAGGACTTATAAATTAAAGCTGTCTGCAAATAATAAGCAACCAGTTCGTTCAAAAAGTAGCACAAACAAAGAAATTACTCAAAATTTATAACTGGAACTCGGCTGATATTCCAGCAGACAATAATTAAAAGTTTTTTCTGCCTCCATAGATTAAGAATTTTAAGTTTAATTATTTAACAAGACCTGTGACTTCAAAGCATGTGCATTCAAATTTCGGAACAGGCCCAACATTGTTGTTTTTTTTTTTTTAATTGGATTTTACTTTGCTGCTTTACTTTGAGCAGTCTGGATTTCTTTTTCTTTTTTTTCCTTTTTCTTTTTTTTTACATTTTGTCTTGCGAGTGTGTATTTTTCTAAAGAAATCTGCATCAGTTTGATTTCCAACAGAGGTAAAGAGATTTAAACACACCAGAATCAAACAGCTAGGAACAAAACTAAATGTACTAAAGAACAAACCAAAAAAATCAAACTTGATATTTAAATAGCACAGCAAGAAAGTCAAAACGATGATGTTGGGTAAACTATTCCAGGTTTATGGCATGTCTAAAATCTGTCACAAATAATTCTATTTTCAGTTCAGTTTAATTACATAGTGCCAAATCACAACAACACTTGTCTCAAGGTGTTTGTAATTTAAGCTAAAGAACCTACGATAATACAAACTATTAAAAATAATGACATCCAAAATAGGTTTCCTGTGAAACACAACAGTAGCTTGAAGAGAGTATTTATACACTGGACATGTTGGGTCATTCATCTGTTTCCTCAGGAATTTCATCTCAGTGTGACCAGGGAGATGCAGTATATCCTGTTCTCGATTCATTTATTAGCAACTATCCTTGTCGATGTGAATGCAAAGCACTGTGACCCAAAACACAAATGTGAATTTAAAATGATAAAAACCAAATAACGGAATGACTTGTGTTTTTAGTTTGCATACATTCTTTCTAAGGAACATGAAGTGAACATAAAGTTACAAGTTTCTGCTTTCAAACTAGAAATAGTTTCAGTAGATTTACCTGGATTCAGAGTAGGTGCTTTAGTAGAGCAAATGTTGTTTTTCAGACCTGGCAATTGCAGAAAGGTGAGATTTAAAAACATCCGGGTGCTTATACCTGACCTAATCTTAATCAAAACAGCAGCTTACGTTGACAGATGAATGGCAGTTTTTTATGGCAGTTTGCATCCAGCAACTTGATTTCTTTTGCCTCATTAACTGAGATGATCTTTCCACAGTGGTTGTTTAAGGAGTTTACAGGAAAACTGTTGTTCCACTGAGAATATAAAACCTTTGACCCTGAAATCCATTTCCATTCAGGATTTTTGCCAAAAATGGATCGTTCCAGGCCAACCCACACCCCTGTGTGTGACTCTGTTTTATTTTGCAGCAGATTTTTAACTTTAACACCGACTGTATCATTGTAGATTTCAACCAAGGAGGAATTGTCTTGCCAACAGTGCTCCAATGCATCAATCCAAGTTTTGTTTACTGAGTGGAACTGCAGATCTGAACACAGAAAAGGGTAGGTTAAGGTTTTTGCAACACAGATTTTAGGATGTGGTGACACAAAACAATCTTCTGCCTCACTGCTGCAAATGCAAAGCTTGAGACTTTATTTTTAGTTTTCTATATTGGGCATTCAATTAAAAAAATCTGGTTCAATGCAGGTAAATATACATCATCTTACAATGACTATAATTTTATTTTAGCATGTACAAAGTCTCATCTCTACGTTATTCTTTTATTTCTTCTGACTAGTCTAGTGCTACATTTCTCCTGGAGGCACATCTTATGTTGAGTCATATTTCAATGATAAACAACAGTCAGCAGTGATTTTTTTTAATTACAGAGTAATTTCTATTTTGTGTGTGTGGTAAAGCTCTAAGTTGAAAAAGTTCTAAAAACTGCTTCAAACGCAGTAAGATGGTTTCATTTTGTTGAATAAAACTTATCCGTGTCATTACAGATACTGCCTGGGTGTTCTTGAGTGCAGTTGAATTCCATCCTTACCTTCCCATTAGATCCCAAGGAGATACATATTTTCTCTCTGTAAGAAAAAATAATTACCTGTAATGTACACTATGTAGGATTCTTAAGATTACATTAACAGCAGAATGGATGCAAGACATATTTACCCTGGTGTAAAGTTAATACACCTGTCATTAGTAAGATTTTTGTCACAATGATTTCTACTGTCAGCTGGAATGTATATGCTTCTGCAGTTCTGAGCAGTGTCAGGTTTAGTGTTGGATCCTTGGAAACCATATGTAAGAACACACAGCATGCAGACATCTTGTTTTATGTTGGGGTTTTTTTTTAAAACTATGGACATTTAGTAGAGATAAGAACAAAAATGTGGTTTGGAGAGCTTACCTCTGTTTACCTTCAAAGACAAACAGCTAGTTTTGTTCATATTAAAGCTGTTCCCAGGCATACAGTGATCCAATGTCTGACCCACAACCATTAGTGTGTCAGGCTTTGTGCTGGTTTGAAAACATTGAAGTGTCCAGTTCCAACTGTCAACTATGCAGTTAGCAGGGCAATCTATCGTTGGATCTTCTGAGGAACAGCTGAACATCTGGACTGTTGATCACACCAAAACTGTATTTAGTTTCCTTGTATATATATATTACCATAGGTGTTTTGCTTTCCCTTTCCCTTTTATTTTATCAATAAATTAGAGAAAATGATATGCAGTAAAAAATAAATTGTTTTGCAAAAATAAGAAATGCAGGAACAAATGTATAAAATAAATAATAGACAAGCACGAACTTTACAAGAAACATGGATTTTAAAGCTTCAGAGGGATTGAACAAAACCAAATAACGTTTTCTTAAAATGAAAATAGTGCATTTACTAGAGCAGAGAATAGGTTCTTCTTCTGTGTGAATTGCTACAGTGATTGGGTTTGATAATTGTAATTTTGATAAAATAACGTTTTAAGGTTTCTAACTATGACCAATCAGTTAGTAACATACCCAACAGCAGTGATAGATAGGTCAGTCTTGCCATGACCTGTAAACATGACCAGAAAAATACAGGAAAGTTATGGAAAAAACATACACAGCACATTCACGTAGAAAAGTAAAAAAACTTTTACCCTTTGCCCAAGTGTTAATGTAACTGTGAAAATTACATATCCAAGGTGCAAAACTAGAGTTAGGGTACAATCTAGGCATTCAAATAGATACACAAATAGATACACATTATATACTGTACACTTGTTTTCATGATACAGAAACACTTAATAATGATAACTTGGATTCTAGTACTTAGTGCAAATGTCGAAACAGTTTGTCCATTAATCATAAAATCATCATAGCCAGAAGTTTTGAGTACAGTAGTTTATTTGTATAAACATATATAAACTACTGTAATAATGATTCAATTCTCTTAAGACTGTAGCTGGTATAGAAAACGAATAGCTCCTCTAATCAAACACGTTGCTTAGACCTACCAAACCAAATGTTCCTTTTCTTTTTAAACTAAATGAGTAAGTTTATTTTTAAAGATCAATCACATATAACCAAATTTCTATATTTGTGTTCTTCAGACAGATCTTGTACTTACCCCATTAAGATTTTTTAGTTGTTGTGATATAAATGCAGGCATAGAAATGTGATGTTGTTTTATAGAGATCCACAGGTGTACAGATGTCACCTGTTTTGACTAAAGAAACACACCCACAAATGCTTATTTGGCTTCCTCTTCTTTCTTTTTTCAAGAATCCCCTAAGGCCCTGTGGATATGCAGTGTGGTTAACATTTCTAATATAATAATATAGTCTGATATAGTAAGGGGGAAAACAAACATTCTAATAAATGAATCCAAATAAACTCTGTCAGGTTATTCTGTACAACTTTAACAACAGATTAGCTATTGTATGCCCGTCCTCTGATTTAAAAGAAGATACATAATTTGATTATTAAACTAAATCTAATCTGTATCACTGTGGGGGTGACGTTCCACCGAGACATCCCATTGGAGTCTAACCACCAAATACCTCCATCTAAATTCTGTACATCAATACATTATGCTTGTTTCTCTTCTTCATGAAATCAAGGGTGCTTCTGTTATTACTCTCTCAATAAATGCTGTATTGAGAGAGACAGTCATTCTTATTTGTTTACTGTATGCTTTACATGATGCTTGCAATGGGTTCCACTGAAATGTAGACATTTAGCTCTGATGGTTTCTGTAATATAACACCATATACCTGTCTGCCTATAGTGTACCAGCTTTGCAGTGAAGTCAATTTCTTAGCTACAGTTTACAAAATAGCAAAGGCTGGAACCATTTATGCAGCATGTTTTGTTGTTGTTGTTTTTTAATATTTCTTGATAGTGGGTCAGATTTCTTTATAATTGTCTCAGAGTATGCAACAAATCTAAACAAGCATATTTTACTATTGTTTTTTTCAGCTGCTGTTTCAAGTCATCCTTAAAAACTGATAACAGGAAACTCATACTGGAATTAGTTCACAGTGTTGTACTTCCCTTTTTTACCCTATGTAAGTATGTATGTAAATCTAGATCCAGAGACCTTACAGTGAGAAAGTGTGTTCAGTCAAATGGGAAACAAATATGTGGTTATCAGTTTTCATGACAAGCAAACCAATATATTGAGTCACAGCCACAATATGAAAAAGCTTGTATTTTTAGTATTATGTTTACAGGAAGTGTTGTTGAATCACTAGTTAATCTGCCACCACCTGCATGTATACTTATAGAATTAATTTAGTGCTTTAGATTTCACATTATGACTCATTTTTCATGTTTTCAAATGTGATTTAAAAAGTTCACTTGAATTGAATTGAATTGAATGAATGCTTTATTGGCCATATGCAGGTTGCCCCACAGAGGAATAGGACCCCCCCCCCCCCCCCCCCCGACTTACACACACAACAACAAAGACAACACAAGGGAATACAGTCGGAGATCGGCAGCGTTGGGAGAATAACACTGAAAAAATTACACAACAATGGGAAAAGTACAAGAGAAAAAAAAAAAAGAGACCTCTTCACACGCTGGGCAGCCTATGGGAGGACAGCACGAGAACAGGAAACAAAAAAAAACTCCTCTGCACAGAGAGCACATTAATGTCCACATCACAACATCAGAGCACATGACAAGCCACAGGGGATGGATAGGGGGGTGGGGGGTGATTCGAAGGAATACAGCAGTCGTCCTGCACCATGCTATCATTTCAGCACGGCACGCAGACCCGCTGCTTCCCCGCAGGAACAAGCATCGAAGGCGTTTGGAAGGGAGGGGGATGAGTGCGTGCTTATCAGTGTAAGTGTATGTGTGTGCGTGTCCATAGTTCAGCTGAGACAGTGTCCTTCGGCCTATCAGGCTAAGTAAACAGTCCTCCAGCCGATCCAGGTGTCCTTCATGGGATGGGAAGAATAGTCATCACACAGTCGTTATCAGGGAGTTGTTTTGGTGGGCTCCAGCCTTGGGCCTGAGCAGCTGGCGCCGTGGTGTCCAAATGTAGAATATTGTTGATTTCTCCTTTATGCGAGTAGCGAATTTAGCACTCTGACACTGGGACACTTGCCTACTTACACTCAACAAAAATATAAACACAACACCTTTGTTACTGCTCCCATTCCCCATGGGATGGACGTAGAGACCTAAAATTCAGTCCAGATACACAATATAACCATCCCTCCCAAACAGTGGTCACAAATCAGTCCAAATGTGTGGTAGTGGGCACATCTGCTATATTGAGATAATCCATCCCACCTCACAGGTGTGCCACATCAGGATGCTGATCTGACATCATGAGTAGTGCACAGGTGTACCTCAGACTGCCCACAACAAAAGGCCACCCTGGAATGTGCAGTTTTTTGCGCTATTGGGGGTCTGGGGACCCAGAACCGGTCAGTATCTGGTGTGACCACCATTTGCCTCATGCAGTGCAACACATCGTCGCATGGAGTCTATCAGATTGTCAATTGTGGCCTGTGGAATGTTGGTCCACTCCACTTCAATGGCTGTGCGAGGTTGTTGGATATTCGTGGGAACTGGTACACGCTGTCGTATACGCCGGTCAGGCACATCCCGAACATGCTCAATGGGTGACATGTCCGGTGAGTATGCTGGCCATGCAAGAACTGGGACATTCTCAGCTGCCATCTGCCCTGAACAATGTGAACCATGATTCATCCGTGAAGCGCACACCTCTCCAACGTGCCAGACGCCATCGAATGTGAGCATTTGCCCACACAAGTCTGTTACGGCGACGAGCTGGAGTCAGGTCAAGACCCCGATGAGGACGACGGGCATGCAGTTGAGCGTCCCTGAGACGGTTTCTGACAGTTTGTGCAGAAATTGTTTGGTTGTGCAAACCAATTGTTCCAGCAGCTGTCTGGGTGGCTGGTCTCAGACGATCTTGGAGGTGAACCTGCTGGATGTGGAGGTCCTGGGCTGGTGTGGTTACACGAGGTCTGCGGTTGTGAGGCCGGTTGGATGTGCTGCCATATTCTCTGAAACG